GCTGCTGAATCTGTTCGGTGATTTCTGGCTCTTCTACTCTCACCTTTAAAATGACCAGCGTGCATCTCTGCCACCAAAGTGCCCATATCACCGCTCTCCTTCCAAGTTTGTACATATTCTCTACGAAGGTCGTGGCTGCTTCTGCCTGTGGCCAATGGCTGGCCAATATGGCTTGCCAAGACCAGGGCTAGGGGATTGCAGATTCCATCTTTCTCCATATGCGGTCCCACCATCTCCATATAAATTGGGCGATCGGGCATTGCATGAAGATGTGTTCGATGGTTTCCACGTTCTTGTAGAAAGGGAAAAGGCTTTGACACCGTTGGCACCACAGAGCAACAAACCTTTTTGTTCTAAATTAGTATGGTCAGTAAGTCAGTCATTTGTTGGCAGACAACGGTGGACAATCTGCCACTACAGGGGTGTGATTTTCATGGTTTTGGCTTTCTGTTCTTGGATCCATTTAATTGGAGAGCGATCCACGTTTAGGTGTCTGGCCCATCGGTCATTCACTGTGTCTCTCAGCCGTCTTTTAGGTCTGAGCATTTTATAGGCTGATTTGACTGACAGCTGGTGTAGGCTGATGTGACCTGCTTTGGGGCCTCCCCTCTGCTGGGGGGGTTCCTATGTCCATTCTGCTAGGTCCAGGACCAGGTCCTGGATTGATTTGAAGGTTTGAAACACCACCCTCTGTCCTTTCTCTTCTAAAACTCTCACTCGATACACAAATGTTCTCTCTTTCCATTCAAAAGGGGCTCTGCTACCTTGGAGGGTGTCAGTTTTAGTGATTGTGTAGTGTTCAACCAGGACAATCTGCGGTGAGACCATGTGTATCTGACCTATCATTTGAGGAGACTCCGTGCTTGCTACCCAGTCGCCTTCTTTTAAGGAGGGGCCTCGTTTAAGGATTTGGTACCATGCAAGCAGGGTAGCTTCAATCAGGTTATCCAAATGTTCCTCTATGTGGTGGCAGTATCGTAGGATTTCTCGCATCTGGTCTCCTGTTTTCCAGTCCCTTATGTCATTGTGCCGGAGATCCCCAACCCTGTGCACCCCTCTCTTTACCCAACTTTTCCAAGGTAAGGTTGAGCTTATCATGACACAACCACTCAAGTTGATCACCCATCGGTTTCCAAAAAAGGGTTGCTGGTAGACTTCCTCCCAGCGGTCAGGATAGATTCTGTCTGGGAGCGGGAGTCTGTGCCAGGTCTCCAACAAGGATGGTCAGAAGTTGTCCAAGATAGATTCTGTCTGGGAGCGGGAGTCTTCGCCAGGTCTCTAGCAAGGATGGCCAGAAGTTATCCAAAATTTGGTCGCCTCCGTCCAGCCCCTCCCTTCCTTGGGGGAAATTACGCCGGATTGTCCAGAATCAGTCCTCCACCCATATCAGCGGGTGGGTAAGATGAAGAATACAAATGATACGAAGAAGATGACATGAACATTACTTTCATGGCACTATCAACTTCTCCATCGCCTCAACCTCGACGAAAATACTGTCGAGGACTCAACCCTTTCACTCATACGCCACTCAGATTGAGGATTGGCTTCGACTACTGCCAATTGATATATACTATTTTTCCCGTATGACTACTTTGTCTACCTTGAGCTACTTCGAAAAAAAACTTAGTACGACGGCCGCTGCTGCGGCGGTACTTTCTAAAACCGAGGAGAAAAAATGAAAGTCTAAAAAAGAAAAATTAAAAAACAAAATCCAAACGAAAGCCTTTTTTTTCCAGTTCGGGCCGCTATTCGGCGTTCGACCATCTTACTTAGCCTATGGAATCGGTGATTCTGGAGAAAAAAACCTTTTAGGCCACTTCTTCTGCATCCAGGTGGCCGTATTGCATCTGTCAGGTGCGTGTCTACAGTCCCTGATCCCGCCTCCGACATCTGTGGGTAATCCTTGCAGGTGTATCTATGTCCAGTCTGTCCTCCCAGAAAGAAGAAATTTTCGGAAGCTTCGTTGAGCCCAGATCGCACCCCGGACGCCAGTCCCGGTCTTGTTCCGGTTCGACACTTGGTGTGCCGTTGGAGTCGGTCGTAGCCCAGCTCACTCTGTATGATCCGTTGGAAAAAATCTGGATATCCCCCGTACGCAAGTATCGAGCCCAGGTGCAAAAGCTCGCCTATTTGAAGCCAGACGGTTATCTCCCTTTTTCAACAATATCACAAGATTAGTGCAAGTCTTGCGAGCTATTCCCAAAAGTTCTTACGGTCTTGCTCTTTTGATTTCATCCATTGGAACCCCGCCAACAAGGGTTTCTTTGGGATAGATACCTTATGCAGTTCCTGTGCAAAGGTAAGGTAGCAGGTGAGTGTGGCTGCATCCGTGTTTGTATTCGTTGATATCCTTTGGAGGGTGTTCGCGATGACCGCATCTTTAACCTTTTTAGGTCCAAACGACGAGTAATCTTTCAAGGTTCTGAATTTCAAGGGGTCTTCTTTCCAAATAGTCTCCATATTCTTAAATTTATGGTTAATGAGTACCTGGCCCGCGGAGTCAGAGGTCAGCAATCTGGTTTTCAATAAGTCTAGCAATCCCGTTCCAGGGTCTGTTCTTTTTATCACCAGTTCTTTGGGGTAGCAATCCATGATTCGATCCAGCTTACCCTCAGCTTCGTCCTTGGCATTGGGCTTCCTAGGTTCGAAAAATGACCAGAGGAGCAAGTCGTCGATGTACCGTTTGCCGTTTATAACTTTTTGATCAGTCCCAAGGGTAGAAATGAATCTGAACTCAAAATACATACACATTACGCATGCTAGGGAAGGACTGACCCTCCCTCCCATGGGGATGTCTTTTTCTTACCGCAAGGCTCTCCCCATAACCAAAAAGATTGTGTTCTCAAGCTGGAAGTTAGTAAGCTTGAGGAGGTCCGTTAGGCGTACAGACCGCCACCCGGCCTCTCCATGCGATTTACCGAAGGTCGCCTTCTTTCCCCTGAGATTAGTCCTGATCCACTTCCTTGATTCCTTTGCAAAGTTGTAGATTATCCAATGATCTCGCGGTGTGGAAGCTCAGAGAACATTTCTTTGATGTCATAGGTTCTCAGGGTGATGTTTTCTTTCGTTTTTTCCATCCGATTGTTAAGGCTATCAATGGTGCTTTTCAGCTCAATCGTAACCCCCAAGTTAAAATGTGGTTGCTTAGTTTTCTTCATCAGATGGTTTAGTCCCGTAGCGAGCAGTCCGAAGGCCAATCTAAACGGACTGGCATCTGAAGGGACAATGGGTCGCCGCTTTGCTTTATCTTTTTCTTTTGGTAGTATATAAGCATGCAGTATGGATCCCTTGTTGTCCCATTTTGCGATCTTTTCCAGGCGAGAATCGATATATTTTAGCCTCATTTCCCTTACTATGACATCAACATCAAGAGACACTGGAGAGTAGTTTACATTTTCTACATACATCTCCCTTAGCCCTTTTTCATACAAGATAGGACACTCAATCCATGCTTCACTGTTATTACGGTCCAACGAAGACAAAACAAGTCCCTCAAGAGCAAGACGAACTCCTTTCACATATTCGGTGAGGACACAACCACTAGGCATTTCCTCCCCTCTTTTTACCACCATTGCCCAGTCGATTCGAACTGTCTGAGGGTAAGATGCATCTTCCTCAAACAGTCGAGGGCCTCGTTGCAGGCATGAGACAGTGCCTCTTTGGATGCAATGACTCTAGGAAAAGGGTTTTTTTTTTCATTGTGTACAAAGGGGTTCAGACCGACCACCTCACTGATTTTAATCGCTACATGCCCATCAATTTTGGGCAAATCGAAATCCGCACATGTACAACGAAAATGGTTGCATTGTGCAAACGACTTCTGATTGTGCAGGAGGTCAACAACCGATTTGGCCTTCAACCAGGTGGCTCGTATTCTCCTGGCATACAGATCAACCAATGAGGAGGGGGAAATCTCTCCCCTGATCCAGTTTTTTACAAAACATTCAACTTTGACTTTATCGACTGTGGTACAAAATGAAATTTTAATGGTTATATTCATCCGTGGGTTGATTTTAAATTTATTCTTCATTACATTGGTAAGGATAACTCTGACAATTTGCCTTCCCCTCTGCTCACGCATTCTCTTTATCCCATTGTTAAGTTCCACCAGCTCTTCCAAGTTCTTTCTGTATAGATCCTTCCTTTTCTATGGTGCTCGCAACAGGGAAATCAGCTCGGCTTTCCTTTCCTCGTTTTTGGTTCTTGTGCGTATAACTTCAATCACATTCCAGGGACAACCTTCTTCAATCACGAATTTAACATCTTTAAGCAAGAGACGATTGCCATTCTTTTCAATTTTGGAAAACCCAAACAACTTGCACACCAGCCGCCAGGTCCGGAGCCATTTTGCACCCTGATTGTTAGTAACTATGGACGTCCCCTTTGGACTTAATTTTCCCAGTATCTTAAACACTGCCAGTAGGTCAGATTGTTTCACCATATTAGCATCCGGACAATAAAAAAACAGGGGCTCAACAATGTTACAGATCTTCATATCGTGTGGACGTTTTTGTTTGTTACGTGTTCTTCTGCAGTTCTTTTTTTGCCCACCTCGTCCTCTTAGGTTAAGTCCGCGGTTATGGCTTTTGATTATCTGTTTTTCAATATCTTCAATAACCTGGTCTGGCCTGAACCAGATTGGGATCAGGACATATTGTTCAACCCCAGTCTTCTGAAGCCACACATGCACACGCTGCTTACTTACGCCACGCACAGCCCGCCGGTGTTCAACCCATCTTTCCCGGAGTGAGCGGGTAGTCTTGCCCACATATACGAGCTTGTGGTTTATTGAGAACAGGCCATATACACATTTAGTCCCATCCAACAGTCGGTCCCAATCACTCTGAGTAAATCTTAGCCAAAACCTTAGATACGCCTTACCCCAGGCGATATCACCTCTGCAACATGCGAGCAGGATAATTAGTACATGTATCTGATTTAATAAGTGGTAGATAATCTGGTCAGATGAGACTTTAAGTGCAGCTAGTCTGTTACAGGCCCGTACGAGGGACCGTTTACTCCCCCATGCTACTTTCCCGATAGATCCGTTTCGGAGACCACGTCAGGGCTTCCAGACTCCGGGGAGTTCTTCGTCGTATCTTCAACTTCTTGCTGCTTGGAACATTCCGCAGCTTCAGTCGGCCTATCCTGCTGGATGCAGTCCACATACTCCTGAAGGTCAAGCTTGGTCAGTTCCCACGCGCCGATCTCCTTCCTGTAGTAGGTCACTTGCTTCTCCTTACACAGATCTTGAACATGCGTGTAGTGCAGTGAGTTGTAAAACTCCAACCGCAGTTTCATGTACGCAGCAAGGCCACCTTCGTCCACCTCCTCTTCTGTCCGCGCGTTCAGTGGTACTCTGTTCTTGGCACATCCGCTCTGCTTCGTCCTGGTGGTAGAATCCACTTTGCTTTTACCTTTGTCCTTCTCTTTAGTCACCTCCCGCTCTTCCATTAGGAGCTTGAGCATTCCTTTTATTTCGGCTAGCTCGCTACTACTCTCCATCTTCAGTTGCAGGTTCTGCTTCGTTCTGTTGAGGCCTTCGCTATTATCGTCATATGAAACATCAATTCGCTTCTTGGATATGGATGCAGCACGACTGACTGTCCTGGAACGAGCCTTTACCCGAGTGACGCGTGGAGGCATCACGACTGGTGTTCGATTCTCACACCTCTTCCTCTTCTCACTACTAGATAACTCCTCTTCCTTTTTTTCTTTTTCTTTTTCTTTTTCCGATCTCAGCCTTTCAAGTTTTGTTTTCTCCTCGCTACTCAGCTTAGATTTCGATCAACGCCATCCAACTTTTCGGTTATCACGCGTAGTGAGTCACCCAGAGTCGTGGTGACCCATGCTTTAAATTCCTCGCTCTTGTCCACCTCCTTGACGGCCGGATTCACCGTGTTATCTTGGATGAGTATGTCCCGCTGGTTAGAAGACATTCTCCTTCTTGCTTCGGCAACTGCTTTGTCCGTCTTGATTCCCTCTAGAATATCCATGTATTCTTTGGTAAAGTAGGCCCTGTTCCCCAGTCCGGGAAACAAATTAGCTGCGGGCTCCTTCCCAACCGAGCCTCCGCTGCCATTGTTGTGCATTTGCTGCCCATTGTGGACGATGTTTGGAGCTTGCCCGGTGTTAACTGGCGGTGCTAACGGTGCTCCCCATGGCGCAGGAATAGGCCATGGTTGCTGTAAAAAGTCGAAGGCATGCTGCGCGCTAGAAGTACCAAGTGGAATTGGCTGCACCGGTTGAACCGGTTGGACTGGCTGCATTGGCATTTGATATTGCGGCAAAGCCATATTCATAGGCATCATGCCAGTGACCATGGGTATCGTCATCCCTTGGACTGATGAAAAATGTTGGGGATACACCATCGGAGAAGTTGTGTTAGCGGATGTGCCAACACCATTCTCGTTCCTTCCGATATGGCCGGCTTGATCCATCCAATATCGGCCACAGTTACTCCAACGCCCTCTCCCACCCCCCGATCTACCACCGGATCTACCTCCGGCTCTACCACTTCGCCCCCTTCCATACATACAACAGAGAAGTGGGAGCGATAGTGCAATACAACACGCTCCAAACCCAAACGTCCACTCCTTGCAGAGCCAGGAGTATCGAAGGGACATGTCGATCTTCAAGCACCACTGAATCTCTTGCCCTTCACGTCGAAGAAAGCCCATGCACTCACACCCATGTGCACCAATGTAACGAAGCGGCAACAATCGCGATGACAGTCTTCACCCATCAACGTGCGTCTTCACTCCGTCGAGCGCCCTTGGTCGTTGATGTCCTGCGGTGTGCAGGTTTAGCCGAGCATCTTACAGATACCCCATTAGTGCCCTTTGCTTACTAGGAACAGTAACAGGTGCAAGGGTACATAGCGCTTGCGCGTTATGAGCAGGTAATTGAAGGGATAAGCAAAAAGATAAGCAAAGAGTGATAAGCAGACATTACCAATGGGGAAGCAATAAGAAGATATGAAAAACCGATAAAAAGTTATAAAAGATGACAGATAAATGATGAAAGAAAAGATATAGGAATGACCAACAATGGAAAAGTAGAAAAATAGAAAAATTGAAAAATTGAAAAATTGATACTGACGTAAAAGCACGCCGACACAAGATGCACGTAGCTCCATGGAGGTACGGCACCTAAGTCTCGTTCCCAAGCCACGACAAGGTCGAGACTTAGGCTCTGATCGATGAGAAATACAAATGATACGAAGAAGATGACATGAGCATTACTTTCATGGCGCTATCAACTTCTCCATCGCCTCAACCTCGATGAAAACACTGTCGAGGACTCAACCCTTCCACTCATATGCCACTTAGATTGAGGATTGGCTTCGACTACTACCAATTGATATATACTATTTTTCCCGTATGACTATTTTCTCTACCTTGAGCTACTTCGAAAAAACAACTTAGTACGACGGCCGCTGCTGCGACGGTACTTTCCGAAACCGAGGAGAAAAAATGAAAGTCGAAAAAAGAAAAATAAAAAAACAAAATCCAAACGGAAGCCCTTTTTTTCCAGTTCGGGCCTCTATTCGGCGTTCGACCATCTTACTTAGCCTATGGAATCGGTAATTCTGGAGAAAAAACCCTTTTAGGCCATTTCTTCAACCTCCAGGTGGCCGCATTGCAGCTGCCAGGTGAGGGTCTACAGTCCCGGATCCCGCCTTCGACATCAGCGGGTGGGTAGTTTGGGGGGCTTCTGGGGCCAGTCGGGCTAGATGTTCCAGAGCCAATGCACACCACGGACACTGGGGGGCGAAAATGAGCTTTTTAATCCATTTCAGTTGTAGTGCTTGCACTTGCATGGCTGGGTCGATTATTCCCAAACCTCCCCCCGCCTTAGGTTGGATAATTGAATCCCACGCCACGTGGCTGATCACGTTGTTCTGCTCGCCGTCCCCCCTCCAAAGGAAAGCTACTGCTTTTCTCTTTAAGCTTCTTAAGGCTGTTTTGCTTGGTGGCCACAGTAGTGATTTGTACCATAATGTTGCCAAGACCACGTTGTTAATTACTGAAGCACGACCAAAGAGGGATGTGTGCTTATTTTTCCAGTTATCTAATTTTTGTTGTGTCGGGGCGCTAATCCATTCATCGTTGATTGGTGGGCGTCCCTCAGTGGTCATGGATACTCCAAGAATTCTTACTGGGGTCTCTAATGGCATCCATTTAATATGTGGCGACTCGGGGGGCGTCCCCCTTAATAATGATGAATCCACCATCCTTGAGTTTTGCTCCCCCAGTTGACTGTCATCTCGGACACCACACACAACCCACTCACACTCACACTCACACTCCCACTCACACTCACACTCCCACTCACACCCGTGTTGGCCAGGGACCCTACTAATACCGATCAGAGGTATCCAGCGGCAGCGGACTATCACCACCGCTGTTTCATTTATTGTGAACTTTGAAGGCATCATTGGGCAGTTATACAAAAATAGGGGTAACTTATGTAGAGCCACAAAAACGGCTTTTAATTGCTCTATGGGGCAGTATACACTTTGCAATTGCATTCCGACCATCCTACCTGGCCATAAAGTTGGCTTGTATACATTGCCCGAACTGCAATTCAAAACTGTATCTTGGCCCGTAGTGCAATTATAACTCACTTTGGTGACTCTCGCATAGTTTCCTCTTTTTTTTTTCTTTTTCTGCTTTTTCCCCGTGAGTGCACGGGGAGTTGTTGCTAAAGTTTACATGCAATTTGGACCCTGCTGCCTCTTTTTTTTTTTTTGAAGACAGAAGCACACAATGTCATGAACTGTTGAAATACAGACCTGAGTTAAAAATGCAAACCCTGGTAAACCTTGGTGAAAAGAAGTTAAGTCATTCTGAATTACCTAGGGTCAGTCAGATTGTGAAAGATATCCTGAGGCGGCCAGGCGACCACCCTTCAACCACCAGTACCTTTCCCTGCTTGAAAAACAAATACGTAGTACGTAGCCCATATACAGCCGCAACTCCCGGGGGTCGGCGTACCGGACGAAAATGGCTGGCACCAGCCAAAATGAGGCCCGCGACTGTCCGCTTGTTTTTGGCATGCAGGGCATTCAGGCCTAGCTTCAATAGCTGGGCGAGCTACTGGTGGGTGAAAAAAAAAAAAGAAAAAAAAAAAAGGAGAAAGTAGGAAGAACAAGAACAGAAGAGGACAGAATCAAACGGCAAGATGTGAGCAAGAATCTGGCTAAAAAGCCTCTCCACACTGCTTACTAAATGAGAGAAATGGTGTGTGCATGTTCACACGAAAGGTGGCGAAATACATCCTTAGTGGTGGTGCGGATATATCTTCGCACCTTGTGTGTGTGACGACAGATTTCGTTGATTTTCTCGGTTGGTTCGTATGGCGAGGCCTTATGTCATTGTTTCTGCGACTTGAATGAGTAACTAACAATTGGCAGTGCAAAACTTCGTGGTGATCCACAGATTCCACACCCCCCTCCCTCCCCCCCCTCCAAAAAAAAAAAAAAATTGTGATAAGGGTTCCATGGGAAAATATTTTGCCGGAACCGGCTTGGTGTAGGAAAAATGTTGCAATTCCGGGGAAAAAAAGAAAAACGGAGATTGCCACCTGTCTTGTGTCTGGACTTTCTTCTTCTTTTTTTTTTTTTTCTTTTCTTTTCTTTTTTTTTTTCCCAAAGGGCAGCCAGGCACTCTGGCCTGGTTCATACGATGGCTACTTTTGAATTATACAAGCCGGAAAACGGGTCCGGCATCCCTTACATCATAGAGAAGGCCACGGGGTAAACAGTCTCCTCTGACCATACGAAAATGACGAAATCCTAATTATGCACTATGCAATCCTTTTTTTTTTTTTTTTTTTTTTTTTTTTTTTTTTTTTTTTTTTTGGGTGTCTTTTTTGAACGGGACTCCAATTGCTTGGCTCCTTTTGTTTAAGGCTTATATCCCAGGGGAAGTCAGTTCCGGTCAGTTTGCAACTTTGCACCATAGTGCGTCCCACCACCGCCACTTCTGAAGGGCCATAGGGCATGACAGCAGGCAGTGCGCTAGGTCTGCCCCCCTCCTGCGCTGTGAAGAATGTCCGCAATAGGAGCAGATCGGTGACAGCCGCCGACCTGCTTGTTCTAGCTTTGAGCGGGGGGGGTATCCAGTCCGGTGTCGGAAGGCACAGGTGTATGATCTGCCAATGCAGGGCCATTAGGGGGGTCGGCGTGATGCGCGCGTAAGTTGACCATGTGATGTTACCGAGAAATTATGCAGAACAGATAACTCACGACAATGTAACAGTGACACAACACGACAATGTAACAGTGACGCAAGGAATCGGATAAACTCAAAAAGCGAGTTAATCAAGAATAGATGATTGAAATACGCATGAAAAGCGCTCAACTCAACCACAACATAACCGTCAATCACAATGATCCACCATTCTAACCACTAACCATACTAGTGCTAATAGCGCAGATGCGGCGCTAATAGCGCGAGTGAGAGGGAGATTACTAAATCAATCTATATATACCGCGGGGATCATACCCGGGTACCCGAAGTTTGCATTCCATCAAGACTACGGTCGGTAATCCCACTGGTTCGTCACGTGAGTCGGGCCCGGTTACCTT